AGCACCGACTTAAAATGCTGAACACAAAGTCGTGCTTCCTGATTATTATCTTCGAAATCAACAGGTACATTTTGCTGAAATCCGCGCATCCACTTCAATTCATCACGCGTTCCCGTGCTTGTTTAGCTTTGTGGCAAAATCTATTCGTTAGGCGCAATTTTTCTTACAAGCAGGCGTGGTATCTTAATTTCAGTGCAATTTATCTAATCAAAAGTTTATGCATTTCCCTTCTACCATTATGGCATGTCTTGGCTCAACGTGCAATGCTTTCAATGCCAATTTTACTCTCAATTCATTCCTAGATGCCCCATCCAACTTCCTCATACTGGAACAGGATTAGGGGCTTAATTGGGATGTGGATAGATGTCTACTTCAGAGCGTGCGACTCGAACTCACGGCGGCACAACTCTCCGATCACGCCACATGAGTCATCGTCTAGGTCCTAAAATCGCGCCATGCAGTCACGCCGACGAGAGCAGAGGCGATGTTGTCGGGGGGGGCGTCTTTGATCCGACTGGTATGAGGTCGTGAGGGATTAGAGCGGGATGCGGTTCGAACCCAATCTGTGTGTTAACACGGCGACTTGAATCACGCTCTGCGGTGATATTCCGCGCGCGATTTCACAGGTCGAACTGTCTGGCAGATTTCTAAGGTGACTTAAAGCTTTCAAAAATCAAACAGATCACAATTTAGAACAGCGTGTTCTGAGGGCGATATAAATTAGTTTCTTGTTAACGTATTATCGCATTTCAGTAGAGTTGACTCACCATTTCAGCAATCGTAGCTTGTCATTAACGGCAGTCATGCAGTTTTCACAAGCGTGTGGGCTCAACTTACCTAAAACAGAAAATGAATATCATGTTATTGCTTTTCTGCTTCTTCAGCCTGACTGAGATTAAGCAAACGAAGGTAGTGACTAGTCCACGAGTTGGTTGGGTTCCCTATTGAGACAGCCATTGTACCCATTTTATCGAGACACTTTCCAAATCTCATCTGGCAGTGGTGACTGTAATTCGTGAAATGCTCGATGCACAGCAGTCTTTTTTATCTCCTGAGAGAATTAGCAGACTGTAACATCCTCTCCCAACCGCGAGATATAGACGTAGCTAAATTAATGTCTGCATTAGAAAGTTAATTTACTTCAACTACCATCCACACATTCGTCTTCTTCAGATTCCTCACAATCTTCTTGAGCGAACTGACTCACCTCTTGGCATGTTTGGTAACATTTTGTCACGCTCCACCGAATCGAGAGCCATGGTAATGAGGCCGTTTTGGAATCTAATGTCTGTGCTATCGAAAATCACCACGGAAACTTAACTTGCATCGACATTTGTGACTTCTGCTTACTCAACTGAACGCTCACTAAGTGGTTATCAATCAAATCATCGTTCAGGCATCAATAAGGCAGCGCATCTCAGCCTAGACATCCAACATCGACCTGTTCTAGGTTGGTTCTGGCTTGACGCTGACTGTCGTAGACTTCCACAGACGGCTTTGCCAGTGCTCATGACCACGATTATCAGCGTACTTTACGGCCGGCTCACAAAATGGTCTGCGGTGCGTGAAGAAGTTTAATACAGCAGTAGTTTGCTCTAGCTAAGTCATTCAGCAACTCTTCAGTTTCCCACAAAGCATGAAACACTGCTTTACACGAAGAACAGCTTCCACATTGTGCGTTTTTTGTTTTATTATCTTCTATTTTTTGTCTCATTGTTGCTACTTAAAGGTAATCTTAGTACTAACACCTATTTCATGGGATATAAGTCGACATTCTCTCATTTACTGCCTTTAGTTAGCGTTACGGATACGTCCACCTCGCGATTCGACTAGTCGACATGACACGTCTAGGTAGCGACGAAAATGTAGGCATTGAAACAATCAATGCAATTTATCATTTGAAAAAGCGCGATGAATCTCGGGGTGCTTCAACCCGATCAGAACAGTGCTGGGATTCACATCAACATGCACGATCGACCGAGCTGCATTCAAAGTGGCAAAGTGCCCTGGTAAAATGAGCTAGACGTTTATTGCTTGAATTGACCGTTCCACGACAATCTGGAGCTAATGGCGTGTATAGAAAGAACGGCTGTTACCGAGGCAACACTTCACCTGCATAAATATCGATCCACCTTCAAGCCACCAGCACTAGTAATACTGCTCAAGGTTGATAGGCTTGAACGTTACAAGAGCCTGGACCTCACTGAACATGTCACGTAAGCGCCATTTTACGAAGTAACCTGTTGGTACAGCTCAAATGCTAGTTTGTCTGTGGCGAGTCGTGTTTCCGGTAGCTCAGATATGAACAAGCGTGAACCAACACTGAGCCAAAGTTAATATGGCGAAATGGAAAGTGGACGCGTCATCCCTCAACAACCCAGCTTCACACACACCGGCCAGCTACATCATTTGTCATACTTACGCTAAACGGGTTCACTTAAGATCTGGCCAGCTGTCTAAACGCCTTGCTCAAGTGCTTACGACCTGTCTACGAGTCCGAGCTTTCTCTTCAAATAACAACTACTCCTTTTACCAAGGAAAACCATTGAAAAACGCAGATTTTTGGTTTTATCAAAACTCGTCTCTGTTAAGGCGTAATCCTCTGTTTTCATGGGAGGCAATTTACTGAGAATGGTGAGTCAACTCTACTGCAATGCGTCAAACGTTAACATGGCACAGATAATTATCTCCCTCAGAACACGCCGTTCTGGATTGTATTTTGATTAGAATTTCGAAAGCTTTAAGTCACCTTAGAAATCTGCCAGACAGTTCGACCTGTGAAATCGCGCGCGGAATATCACCGCAGAGCGTGA